TGGCCCAACCAACCCAAATTAATGGCCCAATAAAGCCCAAACTCACATTCAAGCTCATATAGCATCATGTAACTTTTTAATCCCACATCATGAACGAGTATGATATGATTTCTTTTTAGCTCTTTATATAGTTCCCTCTTTTCAAACAAAACTTATTTTATGGGATAACATCCATGTATTATGGTATTAAAAATCTCATTATTTATTAAAAAAATTATATTTAAAAAATGTAATGAAGTAAAATATTTTTATTTATATTTTATTGAAAATACAAAAAATAAAATCGGCCAATTCTTTTGAACTCGGACCGGTTAGTCGGTTCACCGGTTAAACAACTGGTTCAGTTCGGTTCAGGCCAGTTCTCTGCGAAGCCGGTTATTGAACTGGATCGGATTGGACAATTGGCCGGTTCACAGTTGAATCTGTTGAACCGGCCGGTCCGGTTCGATTTTTAAAACCTGGCATAATAATACTCATTTAAGAAGGCAAGACTACTAAAAACTTTAGTATAAATCCTAGTGTTAATGTAGGGAATCATAGTTGATGTCGATAGTATGTTTCAACCTTGTAATAACTCAAATATGTTAAATAAATTTTCTTGAAAAATATGAAAATTTTGAAGTAGAACACTCAATGAGCAATGTGGCGTTAGGCCATGAACATCATAAATATATATATATCCCTGTCTCACCCCACCAACTCCCTCACTTGGTTACTTGGCTAGGAAGAAATTGAAAGAGAAAGAAGAGAGAGGAGAGAGAAAGATCTTTAGATCATATTTGTCAATCGTTCATATTATAAATTTTGCTCTATTTATTGTAAGTGACTAATCTCTTACCTATGTTTTTAATGATTTTAATTTCTATAAATTTTATATCTTCTGAATTTGTTAAAAATGCATTATTATCTAATTTTATAAGCTTTTACAATGAAAATTTTGATATATTATAGATTTAATTATTCTAAATAATTTGATATGATTTTATTATATTTTAAATAAAGTATCAAATGATATCAGATACATGATATCATAACTTAATGTGATAACCATTGATCCATGTGATTCACTAATTTGGAGTCATAAGGAGCAGGAGATTGATTAGGAGTTATAAAGAGTCAAGACGATTAATTCATGTGATTCAAGGGGAATTATAAGGAGTTTATTGATTGGGAGTTATAAGGGATGACTAATTCGGAGTTATAAGTGCAGAAGCAAAATACCCTTAAGATATACTCATTGAATATATGAATATTGATACCGACACTACTACCAACACTATATTGATACTGTGATTAACATTAATACTGCTTACTTTCATGAATAATATTTAACGTTATTGATAATGATACTAATATTATTATTGGCATTAATCTTGTTGACTATTACTATTATTGTGATTGATAATGTAATTGATTGAGATGTGATAAACTATATAATGATAAATTGATGCAGATAGTCAGTATAGACATTGATGCATATATTTTTTTATAGACATTGACTATTCTTTTTTATATTGTATTACTTTAATTGTAAGATTTTAATTACTTGCTGGGCTATGTACTGATTACGTGATTTTATATTCTTTCAAAAAAGGGTAAATATCCTATGATATGAGGCTTCAGACAAGACAAAAATGTAATCATATTTATTTCAACTGTTCATTGTTAAGCTCTAGTTAAATAACTAAAATGAATGAAAGATGTAATTCTTCCAATATAGATCACAAAGTGTGACAAACCTTATAAGGGGCAGCATGCATTGACATAGGTAATGAGGTTAGCAGGTGTAAGTATAGTTAAATAATAATGGTTAAAGGATTTTAGTGAGCACCAATGGTTAGAGGACTATAGTTTGATAAAGATGAAGGTGGAGTGACGGTGGTGATCGGGCATGGACGGGTGATGTTCTGAGTAGTTGAGAGGTGTACCAATGGTAATAATCAAGCGGTGATCCAATGGTAGATGTTTGGCGATGTTTTGATGGAGATTGTGGTTAGAGGAGTGTAGTCAGACGACGATGGTTAGAGGATTATAGTCGAGTGATGAATGTTAGAGGACCATATTCAGATGACATTGGTCGAATGATCTTAGCCTGACAATGGGGTTTCGGTCGACAGGGGCGGAGAACCTTAGTCAGTGCAATGATGGTGTGATCGTAGTGGTTGGGGGCTACTCTAATGGTAGTGATTGGATGGTGTACTAACGGTGGATATCAAGAGATGGATGGATTGTGGTAGTCTAAAGGTGATGTTTAGATGGTTGCACTAAGATGGTACTTAAGTGGAGCTTTAAAATTTTTAGTGTCTCTAGACTCTCTCGAATCTCAAGCCCAGGTTCAAGCCCCCAATCCCCTTTTAATATAAAGTGTGGGGGCATATTTATAAATTTTAAAAAGTGACATGCCTTATAAATACAACATTTAAGTGTCTTAATGACGACGATATAATAATTTAGAGATTCGTCTAGTTGTGATGCTTGATTTAATTATAAGCATTGTTTAGTCATCTAATTAATGCTCTGAAGTTTTTTATTACACTTCTAGTGCATGATCTGGGCTCATTCAGATTCAGATTATACCACTTTTGATATCAATGGGTTCGT